AAAAAAAAAAAAAAAAAAGGTAAAGAATGGCTAATCTGGCTTGTGAAAATTCTAAATTAGTACATGTTTTCAAAGTAAAGTAAAAATATTTTTATGATGCAATAAAAGGCTAAATGGAAGAAATATAAATCAGGAAGCTAACAAACACTGACCACGCACACGACCCCCATGTCATACAACAACTTTACAGGGATACTTTGCTGCTAGAGACATAGTTGCCGCAATGGGAAGTCGAAGCCCCCAAAGAGAGTCTCGTCAGGGATGGCCCCAAAGAAGAACCAAACTAGACAACTCCTCTAAGGCTAACTCCAAGCCTCAAATACTAATTTCTTAGGAATGTGACTGATTTTCCCTCAGGTTCCATTTATTTATTTTTTAACAATTCCCTGAAAATTCCCACTGTGTTCACGTGTGATTCCTAATCCAGAAGGCTATCTGAATTCTCACAGGGTTTGATGACGATCACACCTAATTTGTCTCTTTTAGACACTACACCCCTATCTGGCCAAGGCCATGAGAACCGCCGCCGCTCTATGACAGAGCTAAGTGCTGGGCTTGGGACGCAGACAGACGGGAATGGGAATCCCAGCCCCACCTCTGGCGAGACCCTGGGCGGCCACCGGATCCTGCAGACACGACACCTACTCGTGGGTCGGCTTCTGGCACCCGCACCTCCTGAGCGCTCCATTAATGGTGGCTGTCGCAATCACGCTACGGCTGCTAACTCATCACTGCCAGCTGTACTGCCGCTGGCGCGTGAGGCCCCAGGAACGCTCGCGGCTTCTACAGCGGTCCTCCCCGGCCGGCGGGGGAAGGGGTCCAGGAAGGGTGGGAGGTGGAAGAGACGGCTGACGATTCTGCACCCACCACTGGCAAGGAGGTATCCACGTGTCGTCTCCCTTCGTCCCACATCTAAGGAACTTTCCAGGTGCGGAGGGGAGGGCCCCCTGGCCCCCGTATCCCAGACACAGACCCCCTACCTTCTTCATGAGCATGTAGATGTGGGTCTGCGCGGCGTCCAGCACGTAGCGGTGGGGGTGCCGCAGCCCCTTCACCGTGATGTCCATGGTTTTGCCGTCTATGTTGATCCAGCGCCTCGCCCCTGGGGCCAGGAACAGCCTGGGGAGGGCGGGGAATGTTAGCGAAAGGAGCTGAACCAAGCCCATTAGTGGAACGCTCCCGGGCGCTTGGGAGGGAGGGACGTGCCCCAGGTTACCCAGGCTGAGGGTGGTCCCCTTTTTAGGAGACACTAAAGAGGTTGAGCTCTTGAAGAGGTTGTTAAGCGACTTTTCCCAGAAGCAAGAAAGCAGCCGTGCAGTGCTGGGAATGTGAATATTCCACTGTGATGTTCCCAACCTCCAGGAGAGAGAGCGAAAAGGGGGTGGGGGGCGGTAAGTCCGGGTTGGGTTTGGCCGTGGCCCTGAGGGTGAAGAATCCAACCTCCAACTTCACACCTTCTGCCCCCTGACTCACCGTGGTCCCGGGGCAACCTGGAACCAGGCGAAGGCACCTCCCAACAGGTGTTCTGGGGCCCCGTGCGCTCCCTCGGCCCAATCTCAAACGCTGAGTTGGGAGGCAGCCCGTAAAATCCCAGCAACCGGAGGCTGGTCCCCTGGGCAGCCAGGCCAGCGGCCCCAGTGAAACCAAACTCGGCCAAACTTTGTGAGTCCTGCAGCTCTACCTGGGATTTTGGGCGCGCAGACCTCTCCTAATACTTCCGATTCTGAGCCGTTGTGGGGTTGGAAACACTCACATGGATATTTTCCCACCCTTCTAAGATGTACGTTAAAATTCTGGAATTCAAACTAGGATTTACCTAACTGGGGAGGAAGGAAGCTCATATAGTGGCGGAGGCCGCAAGCTCCCTCGCAGCGGATTTCTGGAATTAGGAGTCACACATGTGTCGTCATGCGCAAGGCAGTCAGGCACCTGCTGCTCTGGGGAAGGACGTCATGGGACCTTCCTGGCCCTTCAGACCTCCCCACCCCCATTTCTCTGGGTGGCGGAGCCCCTCCCTGTGGGAGGAGATGGGAGGATTTGCAAGAGAGTAAATGTGAGAAGAGACCTCAAGCTCTTCCCTTCTACCTTCTTGGTGCCTCTCTGGAAATTGGGGTGGCCCAACCTGAGTCCACTTGAAGGAAGGACATCAGAGGTCCCAAAGGCCAAGTCCTCAGAGGGGTGGATCTGCCCGGCCGGCTGTCCAAGGCCCTGCGCTCAGCCTGGTGGCTGCAAAGGGCTGGTTTCAGCCCACAGTGGTGCTTGGGCCTCAAGAACCATAGCTATGCACGAGTCTGAACTAAGAATGCTGGGCCCTCAGGGCCTAGGGCCACTGTCCACCGTGGCCTGTGCTGACAGGAGGAACCGCAGGGACGGGAGCACAGCAGGACAGCAGCACCCACTAGGCTGGCGGGGGCAGGAGTGTTGGCCGGGTGGTGGGGGTGTGGCTCTCAGCAACTTCGGTGGCCCCATCACATGCCTCCCTGTCCTTCCGCCTGGCCATTAAAGGCAGGACTGACCCCTTTAAAAGGAACCTTTGGCTCCTAGGTAATTTGGAGGCGAGGCCTAGAGAGGGATACATTTGCGCCACCCACGTTTGTCCCCCAAGCTGGGCTCACTGTCCCACACATGGGGGGACCTCCCTTCCCCTCACGGTCCTCGTGTCTCTTGGGCAGCGTGGGGACGAGTGTTCCCCATGTCACCTCTTCTCTCTCATACACACATACCCCTCTCTGGGGAGACCTTAGGTTAGTCGAAGGCAGAGCATTGTGGACTGTAATTTGGGGTTTACGCTTTTTCAGCCTCCGGCCACGTTCGCATAGGAGCAGGGGGATCGCCTCGAACGAGAGGAACCCCAGGCCTCCCAAAGCGGCGGGCAGGCGCTCAGGCACGGCGGGTCAGTGGCTGCCACGCCAGCGGTGGCCGCTCCCGTCCTGCCTCCGGCCCCCGCGCAGCAGGGTGGTCAGCGGGAAGCCCAGGGGGGGCCCTGCCCAACCGTCCGGCCAGTCCTCACTTGTAAATCTCCTCGGCTTTCTCCTTGACCTTGGACTGGTCTCCGTACTTCAGGTCCTCGCAGGCTTCCCAGAAGCCCAGGTTCTCCCCTGCACCGGGAGGCGGGTCCACGTGGGCGGGTGAGAGCCGGACAGGAAACAGTTGGGAGAAGAAAAGAAGAGATAAAAGAAATGGGTCAGCTGGGATAGATTCGGTCCCCCGGCTCAGCGACCGTCTTTCCTTCTGCAGAACGAGCCACGGCACATCGTGACGCCGGACAGAATACTCCCGCGGGGAAGGAGCCACCTCTCCCTTCCGGGCCTGGGGGGTATGGGGAACCCATGTGGGGTATGCCTGCCCCACACACGGTCTCCGAAATGGTCTGGATGGCACCCCGCGTCTGCAGCAATGCTTCCTCACTGCACTGCCGTCCTTCCCTCTGCAGTGAGGCCAGAGCTCACACTCACCCCCCTGAGGCCGCCGCGTTCTTTCTGTCCCAGCATTTGGCTGTAGCAAATGCTGCCCGGACAGGTACGCATAGGCTCGTCCACGGTGTCGCTGCACCACGGGTTTTCTGTCTACTTCGCTGCTGTTTGATGACTGTGTGAGCTCTGCCTGCTTTGTCTGGCTGTGTGTAGAGACCCCTTCTCTCACAGCCCCTCACAGGACGTATTCCAGCCCAGAGGGCCTTACACAAGGGCCGCTCGAGCAGCAATCCTGGTGGATGGGACCCTCAGGGACAGCCTGGCCACGAGGGGGATTTCCCTGGGCATCCCCCGAGCGGGAGGGAGTCCAGTCCTCTGGCCCAGAAAGGAAAGCCAGCCCCCTTCGTCTCCCTCCAACCTGAAGTTCTCTAACTCTTCTCCACAGCACCCACGAGCACTGTGAGTACAGTGATCCCGGGACGCAAGTTGTGCCTAGGAAAGTGAAGATGGTCACACCCCTGGGCGAGCAAGAGCCTCTGTGTGTGTGTGTGTGTGTGTGTGTGTGTGTGTGTGTGTGGATCGTGGAGAGCCGCTGCACGGGCAAACGGACAAGAGAACCTTCCTTTCCTGTCATAGTGCAGGTAACCCCTGAACAGTGTGTGGCTTGGGGGCACTGATGCCCATGCAGTCGAAAATTCACAGATAACTTTGTGTTTGGGTTTTTTTTTTTTTTTTTTGGTTTTTTTGAGACA